AAAAAACAAACAAACCCCAAAACACAGAACTCAAAACAGGAGTATAATTTAGTGGGGATATTTATTTTTGTTTAACAGTTGTGAATTAGAAATACTTCTTTATGTTGTGCAGCAAGATGTTAGCTTCTTTCTCTTTTGAATAACCTGAAGCAACCTCTGCACTCCATCAATGATCTTGATGAAGAGTCCTGGGATATGGGTGCAAGGGTAAAGCTTTCTGGTCTATGGTACAAGACAGAACCAGTGGGAATGCATGGTAAGCATAGGGATGGGGGATGCCTTACCAGCCTGACTGCTCAAAAAAGCAACCATGTAGTTGGACCGGTGGGTTACTGTGAGTGAGCATTTAAAGGAGACAGGGGCCTTTGTATGCATGCCATTTAGAACAGTTGTTTGGAGGAGAGGAACATCAGTTGTTTGGATGGGCCAGGAAGACAAGTGGAGGAAACAGCTGCTTCTGTATTCCTGCCAAAAACATGGATTGTACATTGCACAGTGTAGTAGCATCATCTGCCATGCTGTGCCTGTGGGAGTGGCTAGGAGAAATCCAGGCTGGGTAGTCCACTCAGAATTCTGATGGTCAATGATAGGAGGGAAAAGAACATTTTGCTCCATAATTCGGTACCATGTTAATACTGGCAATGTGTAATTAGCCATTTTTCTAGCAGATTACTTTTGGGCTGCAGTAATCATTACAAGAGATGACTTGCCAGTTGATCCAAGTGATTAATAAAAATGCATACCATAAACACTCGTGTGTAAGATGACCTCATGTATTATTCGAGGGAAGGTTTAGGGGCCAAAAACTTACCCTGGATTTATTTAAATGAATAAATTCAGGGTCAGTCTATGGAGAGATTGCCCCTGGCCACTGTTACCATTTTCTTGCCCAGACATTCAAAAAGTGCCAGAAGCAGCACTATGGTGAGAAAGAAGAAAGGCTCTTTGCTTCTTTTGGGTTCTCCTGGGGCAGAATAAGCTCTAGCCTTTTGCTCCTCAGCATAAAAGAAGGGGATGGTTCTGTTTGTGATAAGAGCTAGGGTACAATATTTAAATTGACCCATAGACAAGTCAACCCAGGTTTTGGTAAATAATGTTGACCAAAGACGATGAGTCTTATACATGAGTACATACAGTAATAATAAAATAATTCATTTAAAAGCATATATATGGATTCTCCCCCCCCCCCCCCGCTCTCTCTCTATAATTTGTGTGCAAGAGAGAAAGCAGTATCTCAGAGATAGGTGTGGGCTTAAGAAAAAGCCCCACTCCCTCTATTGGTCAAAAAGCATTTGGATTCAATATGGAAAGGAGAGGAATTGGGGTAGGGTCCCTGAGAAGTGAAGATTTATCAATTTCCACATCACAGTCTCATCTACCTGAAAACATTTTCTTTAGCAGTTAAACTTGAGGAAAAGCCTCCCAATGAGAGGCCCCCTCCCCCAAACCTTATTAACACGTATGGGAAAACATAGTGTATGTATATATATGTGTGTGTGTGTGTGTGTAAGGGACATGTTGAAATTGGGAAAGTGTTGAGAGAGTGAATGAATAGGTATGAACAGGGAGAGTGTGTGGATGGGTGCGCATGAAAGAACTATGTCTGTGGATTTCAACCACCCACTTTCCATCTTACCTCTATCCATCATTGTCATGTCGGCCCCAAAACGTTTTTTGTCATGTTCTCTTTGGTCCCTTCTGCACTGCCATATAATCCAGATTATCAAAGCAAATAATGCATATTATCTGCTTTGTGCTGGATTATATGAGTCTACACTGCAATATAATCCAGTTCTAAGCAAATAATTTGAATTTTATATGGCTGTGTAAAAGGGGATTGTGTCTCACATACAAGGGTCTATGCAGAGCCACACACAAATGTTTCAGACTTGAGTAGCTTTTAGGAGGAACCCCCCGCTGCGCTCAGGTGAGCATTTATACTCGGTGCCAAAAACAACTCCTTCTTCCATTACTTTTCATTTATGGATAAGTTCTCTTTGGATAGTCTCAAGTATAAAGTAGCTTCTATTCTTTCAACAAAATCTTCATTTTATTCTTCATTTTTCTTATATATAAAGAAAAAGTAGTTGTGTTGCTTCTCCTTTTGTTCCCTCATAACTTCTATCAAGAGTTCATTGGATTTGAAAAATAGCCTCTAAAGATTTTTTTTTCAAAATGTGTATCATTTGTCAGGAAGAAAATTCATAATTCTGATAGCTCCCAGTGCATTTGCTTGGATGAGGGGTACAATGCCCGGGCCTAATCTACAAGTTAAATGGCCCCAAGAAACTATGTTCTTAGACAGAAGAGTCCTTATTCAGAAATATGTTTTCTTTCCTTTTTTTCTGTTGAAGCTGTAAAGAGAAGCTATAGTGCAGGGGTCCTCAAACTTTTTAAACAGAGGGCCAGGTCACAGTCCCTCAAACTGTTGGAGGGCCGGATTATAATTTGAAACATGAATGAATTCCTATGCACAGTGCACATATCTTATCTGCAGTGCAAAAAAAAAAACACTTAAAAACAATACAATAATAAAAATGAAGAACAATTTTAACAAATACAAACTTATTAGTATTTTAAATGGAAGTGTGAGCCTGCTTTTGGCTAATGCGATAGGATTGTTGTTGTTGTTGTTGTTGTTGTTGTTGTTGTTGTGTGCTTTCAAGTCATTTCAGAGGTTGACCCTGATTGAGGGCTGGGTAAATGACCTTGGAGGGCCGTATTTGGCCCCCGGGCCTTAGTTTGAGGACCCCTGCTATAGTGAGACATGTTCTCTGGAAGCCTAAGTATTTTTTATTATACATGTTTACAAGAAGGCAGCTTCTGAAAGCTAGCAGATGGGACATGGTTATGTGTCCTGTGTTATGTTGCCATTTATACCACTTTTATTTCCTTTTGAGTCTGCATTTATTTGGCTTTTAGGAGGTTGGAATCCTTTTATTCCTCTCCAGATTTTTCCTTTCTTTTTAAAATGAGTTCTGTGGGTTCTCAGTTTGTAGCAAGCATGTTCTTGTTTTCCTTCTCAATAGATTGTGCATTGTATACTATGTCGTTTTTGACATTGTTGCCTTTAATGTTTCTATGGTACTGAAATGTGATACAAAAACTACTGATCGAGATGAGCTTGTTTATTAACATGCTTTCTGCTGTGCCAAGCCTAAAAGATGTATTTTCCCTTGCCTGAGACAATCTACATATTTTGTCATTGTGATGCATGGTGGTTGTGATTGCTGTCTGCTAGCTGTGATTTTTAAGTCTTGGCTGATGATTAATTTTATGGCTCAGACGACTGCAAATGGCCTTTGCTCTAGTCACATAAATTTTGCACATCTCTAATGGCAATGGCATGCATTATAATTTGGTACATAGACGAGGACTTGTTTGTAGCTAGGGAAGAGAAAGAAAAATTGAGGTATTCAGAAAAAAAAGTTAGTACATCTTGATCAATGACTCTACTGATTCAGAGAGCCTGAGTTATAAACTTAATCATAATCATACATAATTTACTTACTGTCCACGTTGTTTATAGTTTTAGAGATGAGTCAGATCTAATTCTCATTAGTGGTGGTTGCTATACCAAAAGGGAGGTTTTTTGTACTTTCCTAGAAATGCACTCCTTAATACACTTACCTAGGTGTAGTCTGTACTGAATAGAGTAGGCAAAGAGATTTTGTTGCACCTTAAAGACTGAGGCCCCTTCTACACTGCCATATAAAATCCAGATTATCTGCTTTGAACTGGATTATATGGCAGTGTAGAAGGGTCCTGAGAGAGTCAAGTTGGTTGTCTGCACTGGACAGGTTGCTCTGGTGCATATTTGCTCCAGAGCACACCCAGATCTAGCACATATATATTAAATCCAGTGTCCAGATGGTATAGCCAAGCTGAAATTGCATCTATCCTACTAGGATGTCACCTCATCCTTTGCGTCACTGCTGTCACACCCTGCCAGCCACAGAGCTCTGTGTGAGCACCTGGCCATCATCTCTTATGCCTGCTGATGTCAGAAAGGGCATTGACACTACCAGCAAGAAGGAGGAGGTCAATTGGCACACTATTCTGATATCACCAGACAAGACTGTAGTGACCAGGTGCTTGGATGGAGGTCCATGACCAGTGGGGAGCAGCAGTGGTTGCATCTTGGTGGAGAGTCATCTCTTTCCCCTTCTGCTGTTCAGTGCAGGCAAAGGGTGAGGGCAGCAGTGTCCATCTGGACAAGGAACTGGGCTGTGAAGCCCAAGGCAGCCTGGAGTTTCCTATCTAAAGCAAGGTGAAGTAGGGTTAAAGCCTGAAAATGCAGATGCTCACCATAAGTCACTTGTGGACTTGTGGTGAGTCTGAGCTGGTTTTGGCCAGTGTGGAAAAGACTGCTTCTTGCCAAGATTAGGTTTAGGGTGCATCTACACTGCATGCAGTTTGACACCACTTTAAATATTTCAGAGTACCATGGCTATATCTTAAAATTATAACCCCTTGAGAGTGGGGTTACTTCCGAGTCAGCATGCCTCAGCCTGACAGGGAAACTGAGATATAGCTTCAAACATCTGCAAATGGACATTAGAAGGGACCAAACTGTTTAGTGTTCCGCTCTGGGGACACTCAAATGTAACTTCTGTTGGTCCTTGAGAAAAGCTCAATCAATGGGAGTCTTTTAAGTCTGCCACATGTTGCTGACCCTATACACTGGCCAACAGAAAATGAATTAAGACATATCAGAGTACATTCAGTCAGTCAGAATTGGACTCAGTCAGAGTTAATGTTGTCAAGATCAAGCCAGAACTGTGTGTGAATGTGTCCCATGATTAATAGAGCCTAAATAATGATCTGTGTTAAGGGAAATAATGCTCTTTGTTAAGGGAAACCACATTTCCCTTAACAGAGGTCTTTATGTCCAACTGCTTCTTTAATTGTTTCTTTCTTTTACAGTTGCTCATTCTTAATGCCTACCACACATCCAAACAGAATGGAAATTAATGCTTAGCTTTATGTACTTTTCACAGAAATGCACAATGCGGAGCCTTCTTGGTGGTTGCTCCCACACTGTGGAACTTTTGTGCTCTCATTCTACTGGCAGGTAAAGACATTTTTATTTCTATAGGCATTTGATTACTAATGGGTTTTTAATGGAAGCATTGTGCTGTACTTTTTGTTTTTATTGTTATGTTTTAAAATGTAATGGTTGTTTTAATATGATAGTTTAATTATTTGAACTTCTGCTCAACTTCCAGTTGAACAGTTTTTAATTTGTATTTGGCTGTTACCTGTCTTGAATCCTGCGTTGTATTATAAATACAATATGGTACGAAACAGTGTATGAAAAAGCACCCTACAGTGTTATTCTGGTTTTTTTTCTGGGATGTGTTCTTGGCAGGAAATAGTTTATGATATACATGGTGTCACTTAACAGTCATATCCTGTGTAAATATATTAATTGATTACAGAGGACCAGCTATTACTTTTCTGTCTTTTAAAAAACAGTTGTTGCCAAGAAGACTCAATGGTACAGTCACCTTAGTGTCAGCATAAGTCAGAAATGATTTTGAAGATACACAACAACAACAATTTGGAGCTTGGGGAGGGTAAAGGGTAGATTTTGGTTTTTAAAAAACCCTGGAATGTTTTGGCCAGGAAGTGGCTCTTTTCTGATGCATGCCTTTTCGTCATTTGTGCAAGTTGTACTTACTGTCATCGTTTTTGTCAGAGACAGAACGTCTTTGATTCTGCTGAGCCTATCCTTGATTCATATGTAGTAAAGTTGCTGTGGCTGTCTGTTGGCGTTTTTGTTTTGTTTTGAACAGATGATAAGGTCAGTGCAGTAAGCATTTCGTAGAAGCTTTCACAATCCTCTTTAGGCTGGCTACTGTACAGTCTGTTCCCTTTATTGACTTCAGTGTGGAAAGAATGATGACAAAGTAACCCTCAAGTAGCCTGAAGACAAGCAGCCCTGGGATACAAGTGTTCTTGACCACTATGTTGTACTATAGATTTTATCTGAGAGATAAGCAAACCTCAACACTGGCCAGGTTTAGTGTGTGAAGCTCGTTTGAAATCAAGCATATTTCTCATGTCATGATGTAAAAGAAGAGTTAGAGCACTAGTTTTCGATCTTTGGTCTTCCCTATGTTTTAGGCTTCCCTTCTCAGGCAATTGGCTAAGCTGGCTGAGGCTTTTGGGAATTAAAGTCCAAAACATAAAGAGGACTAAAAATTGAGGATATGTGTTTGTGACCCGAAAGCTCCATATTGTCCAGAATGCTGCAGCCAGGTTACTCACAAAAACACCAGTGCTGCGGCATCTACACTGGCTCCCAATTGAGTACCGTGGTTTGTATAAGATGCTGGTCCTGACCTTTAAAACTTTATATGGCCAGGGTCCATTGTATCTTAGAAGCCGTCTCTCCTTCTACCATCATCGGAAGTCGCCACAACCATCCCAACGCAATTTGCTCTATATGCCGGGTCCTAGGAAAGTGCACTTGGAAAGCACCAGATGCAGGGCATTCTCTATTTCTGCCCCTACCTATGGAATTCCTTGCCTCCCTATTTGAGAGCCATGCATGACTCAGGGCATTTTATCCTAGCACTTAAGACCTGGCTTTTTACTAGAGCATTTGACCCATGTTAATTTTAATATTTGTATGTATGTGTTTTATCCCGTATCATTTCTGCTATGTAAATCGCCTGGAGCATCTTGGATGGAGGGTGATTAATAAGTAATTAAAGATGATGATGATGATGAATATAGGTGCCTTCAAATTGCCCTGTAAACAAATGGAGACCCAATTAATTTCCTATGGCTTTCTTAGGAAGGAATATTTAGAGGTGGTTTTAGCCAGTTCATTCCTTGAAACATGGCCTACATAATCTGGTAATCCTTAAAACTCTCCCATCTTGTTGTTGTTTATTTGTTCAGTCAACTTCCAAATCTTTGTGACCTCATGGACCAGCCCACATCAGAGCTCCCTGTTGGCCATTGCCACCCCCAACTCCTTCAAGGTCAAGCCAGTCACTTCAAGGATACCATCCATCTATCTTGCTCTTGGTCGGCCCCTCTTCCTTTTTCATTCCATTTTCCCCAGCATCATTGTCTTCTCTAAGCATTCCTGTCTTCTCATTATGTGGCCAAAATACTTCATCTTTGCTTGTAATATCCTTCCCTCCAATGAGCAGTCGGGCTTTATTTCCTGCAGTATGGACTGGCTGGATCTTCTCGCTGTCCAAGGCACTCTCAGAACTTTCCTCCAGCACCACAGTTCAAAAGCATCTATCTTCCTTCACTCAGCCTTCCTTATGGTCCAGCTCTCACATCCATAGATTGCTATGGGGAATACCATTGCTTTGACTATGTGGATCTTCATTGCCAGTGTGATGTCTCTACTCTTCACTATTTTATTGAGATTGGTGATTGCTCTCTCATCTAGAAACTAACATACATGGCCATGAAGCCCCCCCAAAAACCTCACACCAACCCAGTTGAGAACCACTGCTTCAGAGTATTTAGACCAGAAATGAGTTGAAGGCACACACCACAAGGAGCATTCATTGATGGTCTCCCATCCAAGTACAAACCATGGTTTACCACTGAAGTAAGGACTTTGACATTGATTATGAAGTTGTGTGTAAGATCAAGACACTTTGCTTGTACCAAGGTGACAATAAAATAACACCCGGGGGGGGGGACGGACGGACGGACAGACGAGTGATGACCTCATTCTAGAAATGAACTACAACTTGGTAACTTTCCATAGATGTGGGAGGCACCACTAAAAATAGTGTCTTCTCATTTGGAAAACAACATCAGATTATGACTTTTGGAACCTTTGGATCTGGTTGGGTAAGATGCCCCATTTCCACTTTGCTTAAGAAGGTTAAAATGATAGGTGGTGAAAAAGTTGTTGTGCAAGGGAGTAACACTTCTGTTACAATCACATTATCACAAAAGACAGGCAGATAGCAATTGCATCTAGATAATAGTACCTTAGGTTGGGGCTCAGGGCATAATGTTAGAGGGGGAGGTGAGGGAAACTCCTTTGAGGAGGGGCCCTAAGAAGATATTGATTGGCACTGTGCTCAAGTGGGAAGCCATTTTTGTGGTCTCCCATTCCTCCTGCCATCCTTTTCTGACACTGCTTAGAAAAGTAACAACAAAAAGAGGTAGGGATAATGTTGGAGGAAGTAATGTGTAGGAAGCCTGCATTAGGTAAGCTTTTGCTACTAATGGGCGTTATAATCATGGAATGGTCCCAGAGGTGCACAAGGCAAGACACAATTGTAGCAGGAGAGAGTCTCTTGTGACAAGACTCTTACTCTGAAGAGGTCAGGGTAATATAAATTGACATATTTATTCTGCCCAGAATGCACAGATATTGAGATGTAATAGCTAATGTCTTAAAGTCAATCAGTCAGTTTCACAGTATAGTGGAGATTTTATGCTCTGAAATTTGTACCACATTGGCATTAATATTACTAGGTTGGAAGACATTCTGGAATAAATTAGCCAAATATTCTGCTTTCTGACAAATTACAGATGATTGTTAAAATACATACTTCACCTATATTTCTAGAATAGACTAGCCGCATTGTAGAATGTATTCAGCCAATGCATTGCATCACCATTTAAACATATTTTGTCTCCTGTGATACCTTTTTCAACAGATAATTTTAAATTGCTCTCTGTGGGGATGTTCTCAGTGTCGATCTGCCTATCAATCTTTCTGTCTGAATGGAGAAGTATTTGATTAGTGTGTTTAAAGCAATAAAGATGTCTACAGTAGTGTCACGGTGATTGATACTAATTATCAGTCTTTATGTGGCTCCTTCGGTTTGGCCACTTCCCCCTGCAGATTGCAATTTTATCGTTAAAGTAATGCCTTGTTGTCCACAGACTAGGTCATAAATTGTGGACTATCTCTTTTTAATGATTCTGTGTCCAGTGGTAGAATCCCAATAACCTTCATTATGTCTACTCAAAGAAGTCTGTGATTTCCATAGTGAGTTAGTAATGGATTTATAAGGGCCAGCTGAAGACTGCCTCACATCAGAGGTTATCTTGATAGTGCTTCCGGTGTATTAGAATAAGCAGAAACATTGAGCAGACACGTGCAGATAACTGATTAGTTTCATTTGGCATCATTCTTTCACAATATTACTGTAAATTGAAATGGCTGCTCTTGAATAGGTCAAGCTACTGTGGAACGTACAGAAAGATCTATGGGAGATGCATGGTTTCTCTAAAAATAATGGCATAGCATGTTGGGGAAATTTTGCCTTAATCTCATTTGGCCAGCAGGGCTATTTGCAAAATAAGCATTTTGTTTGAAATGTACCTTCTAATACTTTAGCAAGGAGGCATGTTTATCAACCTAATTATTAGTATAGTGATACCTTGACTTAAGAGTCTAATTCGTTCCATGACCAAGCTCTTAACTCAAAACACTCTTATCTCAGTGCGATTTTTCCCATTGCAAGGCATTGAAATACTATTAATCCATTCACATGGAACAATGATCAACTCTAAAATGGTAGATGCACAAAACTGTGGCAAGAAAGCACATTTGAGGCAACTAAATGTATGTTGGCCAGTGTAACAGCAAGGCAAAATCTGCACATTCTCATGGAACAATAAAAAAGAAAGATCAACTTTAAAATGGTAGAATCACAGAGTTGTGGCATAACAGTAGAAGCACAAAGTTATGGCAAGGAAGCACAAAGTTAAGAGGCAGAAGCATCCTTTTCTTCATATTGTACTCATTGTGTCTCCCTCCCTCTCTTGCTCACTTATCAAAAATAAGTGAAACCAAACATACCAGGAATAAAAACCACACAAAATCAACTAATCCAAAGTTTCTCAAAGCGGACAAGAGCAAAGCAGACAGCAATCTTCCAAAGTGGACAAGGGCACGAGGCACAGAGGCTGCTCCCTAAAAGCTCTAAGGCCCTCTACTCTGGTGCTAATGCTCCTTCTGGTGCTAGCACTTAACTCATGAGCATATCTACTTCTTCAGCACATTTGATTTAAGTTTTGTTTTTAATAAGTGAGATCTTCCTTCTTGAAATATACCCCAAGCACTTGACA